GGGATACCCCCATTATTATAGCACCCGCTGTAAATACTATGCTAGCCAAGAGAATGACTGGACGTCGACCCCACCAGTCGTTTAAGGCACCACCGAATAAAGCAAACAGTGCAGCAGCACCAATGGTCGCACTGACAATAACTTCCTTCCATAGATTGTGTAAATGAAACTGTTCTGATATGAGCAGCAACGCGCCAGATACAACGCCTGTATCGTAGCCGAACAAAAATCCCCCAATTGCGGAAAAAAACGCCAACACGTAAATATAACACATAGACTCGTTTCCCTTGGCATCGACGATTTTGGCATCGTCGTATTGTTGATGAATCTCACCAGGATATTTATTACGTTCTTCCTCGTTGATGAGTGGTTTGTCCTCGGAGACAACCATCTCGCTATTAGCTACATCTACCATGTCAAAAGTATCCATCTGTCGATTATATCATACACTGAACGCTGGCCTAATACGTCGAGAACATTCGACGTGCATTTCGCGTTAAGCAGATAAGTTATCCGACACAGGCAAATGTACCAACAACATGTCGGAACTATGCATAAGGTTATCAATACCAGCGTACGTCAGCTGATCACATCCATCAACGTACGACGTCAGTCTCACCGACACCATCACGTTTACCAGTCTGATATCACCGTGTGTCAGTGGTAGTAGTCGGTCGTTTCCCGGGATGTGAAGAGACTATCGTCGCCTGTTTTTTAAAAAAATACGTCAACAGTACCAATTGTGACCCCTGGCAATCAAAAACATTGACGTCCCGAAAGACAACGTGTAAACTGGACTACATCTTAAAAGCGCAAACTCGATAACCTTTGACCGCCAACTAAACAAAAATAGTCATCGAAAGAGGACGCTCTACAACAAACATCATACAACTGCGCGAGCTCTCCGCCCAGCTTAACTTACTTGAAAAAATCGGACACTTTATAGCTTGCCGGGAATACGCACATGCGCTCTAATTTTTTCGAAGAAAGGGGTACACTTTTCGGATTTCGCAAACTCGATAACCTTTGACCGCCAACTAAACAAAAATAGTCATCGAAAGAGGACGCTCTACAACAAACATCATACAACTGCGCAAGCTCTCCGCCCAGCTTAACTTACTTGAAAAAATCGGACACTTTATAGCTTGCCGGGAATACGCACATGCGCTCTAATTTTTTCGAAGAAAGGAGTACACTTTTCGGATTTCGAAAGCCCGCGAAAACCCCCCAAAAGACTGACAGTTACTCATCGGTCAAGCAGAAGGGCAAGACAAAAGATAAAGACCTAACATATCAAATGCGCAGAGACGTTTGATCAGAACGAGAACTTGAAGACAGCGCATCTTTCTGATCTTTCTCTGAAATAAGGTTTTGAACAAAACTAATCCTTGCCAAAAAAGAACAAAAAAAAACATGTAGAGTAGAGTGTACGGAATGATACAGTACATGCAAGCATTACACTAAACATATATGGTTTTATCAGTGACATCCTAACATGCAATGTTCACGGTGAAATATTCTCAGTACCAACTTGAATGGAAAGCACGCCGGCGCTCATGTCCTACATTTGGAGCATTTTGTTAAATCTTCAGTTTAATTTTGAATTACTAAGTATGCGTTATCAAAAACTGTTAATTGAGAAATAGCTACTCATAAATTGTACTTAAAAAGTTGGGGGGTCATGAGCCAAACTTTCGACAATTTGTTTTTAATATTTTAGTATTATAATGCTTTTATAATAGGTTCCTATGGCAGATATATTACGATATATCTCAAATTGTAGGCTGGTGGCATAGGGTAAAAAAATAGATATTGTTAATGAGAGGGTAATCTTTATAGTCTTGAATTATTTCAAAAATCTGGGTTTTAAATAGTGTTAACAATGCAATTTTTCTCTAACACTTTGTTCCTTTGGGTCACGTTTCTCAAAAACGTCACAGTCACATAAACAGTGACGTAACCGTGACACTCAGTGTGACGGTCTGTATGGTGTTCGTTTCAAAATGTTTTTACCATCATGTGCCATTCTAAGCACAATTTCAGCATTGAAAAAAACAAACTGAAAACAACCTGATCCGATCGGTGCGGCGCATAAATTTATATGTTTTGTAAGAAAGAAGAGATAGAGAAATTGAATTGGAAAAAGAGTTGTGTAATTTAGAAAAAGAAATTGATGACAATTTGGAGCAGGATGTTTTGATGCAGTATGAAGCTTTAAAAAAGAACTTGATAGCATTATTGATCACAAGATTCAGGGCTATGCTATCCGTTCACGCATACAATGGTATCAGGAGGGTGAAAAAAGTACCAAATATTTTTTGAACTTAGAAAAACGTAATTTTAAAAAGAAAACTGTAACCAAATTGATGGTCGATGAACGGGACATTCAATTATGCAAATTAGAAATTATTATACTGCGTTATATGCATCGTCCTCTCCAAATTTGAATTCAAATGATAAATATGGGTTCTTTAATAATAATAATATCCCACATGTTGACCCACAAAAAATAAACAAATGTGAAGGTATTCTGACTAAAGAGGAAGTATTTTCTGCCTTAAAAAAATCCCCAAAAATAAATCACCTGGCAGTGACGGGCTACCCCTTGAATTTCATTTATTTTTCTGGGAAAAAATTGGGAATGCATTGGTGGCCTCACTAAATTACAGTTTCAATCATGGTGTCATGTCTACCACACAAAAACAAGCTGCTATAACTTTATTGTAAGAACATATTAATAATAATAAGGCACCTCTTTATAATAAGGTCTTTACTGAATATCTTTGCGTGCTGATCATGATTATGGAGCCTATTCGACAGTTTTACTACTCGCCATGAATTTAATGGTATCCCCGAGTAATACTTTCAGCTTTTTGTGTACGTACAAAAACAGTGTGCATGCGCATTAGAGAATTGTCACGAATATACGATACAAGAACGGTTTTGTAATGCCACGATACATCCTAGCCCAATGTATTTATTAGAAACCGTATCAACAACAACAAAAACATTCCATGATCTATGTTTAATTCCGTCTTAGTATTGACCAATCCGCGAAAACTGTACTCATCTAGGAATCTTCCTATAAACAAATGTAGTAACATTTCATGATGAAACACGAATACTGTTTTGCATAACATATAAACGTTCCCGGGCGAGCACCTCTCCCGCCCAGGGTTGTTTATATTTTTCCGCGTGACCCTGTTCACCTATTCACATCAGGTACTTAACAATGAAAAGATATGAACATTCGATAACGGCATACATTACCGTGATTTATCGACACCAATAAACACGGCAAAATATATGTTTAAATTTATTACGCTGCATTTGGTCAGAAGACGCAAAAATGGCCCATTGCAAACTAGCCTTACGAATTCTTCCGCGCACGATGCCGAGTCGCCGCTTGGCTGTGCTGAAACGAGCAACATCATCTTCAAGCAACTTGCGTACTGGTGACACCAATGATCCAAGTTTTGATTTAAGACGGGAAGTGGCAAAGTTTGACGCAAACATTCCAGTTGAAGCTGCTACCACACCACCTTCCACCTGGTGAGTATATTGTTGTTATTGAGTTCAACCCACCTTCACTCACAAGATGCATACCAAACAATCATCAGCCATTATGTACTATATACATGTACATGTACAATGATATTTTCCGCTGACGACTGGTATTCCTCATAACAGGTCAATAAACTGTGTCTCCGATTAGCCAGGTAAACCTGTCAACTGTCTCTCACAGTTTTCAAGGTCATCAAAATCACGTGTTCACAGCACAGACTAGTCACAACCATCGCCTTTTTTGAATACCTATCGTTAAATTTACTGTGTTCTACCACTGGATCTACTGCGTTGTCAGAGTGTGTGGTATTTACAGTGGGTCGCTAGATTCCAATCGCAAACACTGCCGTTGACCCAGATATAGCAGAATGGAGTTAGTCGATTACTCAGGCTGTTTTCGACCATAGAAGGTATAATAATATACCAATAATCAATGATCATAAACACATTTATTTGCAAACAAATAATGATTCTTCTACCCAGTGTTTTAGCGCGAAGACAGGCAATTGCTGGCATACGTATTGCGTGCTTTGAGTCACATGCGTCAATCCCGTTTTGCTATGCCAGTTTCCGTGACTGTGTTTGAGTTTGCAACCGACAACCGATTGTAAAAAATAACGCTTATTCTGACTACGCAACGATTCTGACGCTACGACCCATAGGTTGTTCAAGGATGTTAGCTCGGAACTTTGACACTTTAAAAATAGAAACACGTTCTTGCAGTATTTTTATTTCTTTGTTATAATTCGACGTGTGCGGAAACTGACGCAATCCGTGTCCTGTTCGATATAGCCTCATAACGACGTATACAAGGCGTGTAAAATACGTTGTTTACATGAATTTCGAACACGTGCTGCGTGACGACCACCATCCATTAGCACACTGATAAGGAGTCCATATACCAGCACCACACGAAATCTGTAACTAGAGAGATTAAAAAATGTGTGTGCAGTGGTATTAAATCTGAGCTTGAACCACCGCTATAGAACATTATTGCTAGTACAAAGTGCCTGTAAGAGACATGCAGAATAGATTGGTAACAATCTTCTATTACGGTATCACACTGTTCAACATACAGAATAATTCTGCGACGCTATCTCCCGCGTTCTTACCGGCAGAATGTTTGTTGTAATCGCATACTTTTACTATTTTAAGTCGAACCCAGCGATATTTTGAACTAGTGTAAATAGTATTCGTATTTGATCTCCACAGGTTCACGAGACCAGAATTTCATCAACTGGAAGTACACACGGTATTCCACGACGCATGGATGTTCGCAGGAAGAGTAGATCAGATTACAAAGCCTGGAAAATTCTTTACCGGTATGGACAATTTATAACCTGCATGGATGATCGGAAACTGGATAGTCACATTGACAGTAGCTTTGTATTAATCTGACTGAAATAGTTGTCTAATAGAAATCCATACAAAAATTGAGTTCTTTAATTCATTCTGAACACGTACCCCACTTACGCCATAAATATGACCCCTTTAGACATTTCTTCTGCATTCCCGTGATTCATTCGCATGCATGTGAAGAACGATTTACATAATACTAATTAAGACATCATGTCCATTCCTTCCATTTTTATGAATTTCAAAGTTCGAAACGACATGACGGTTTTCTATTGGGCGATGGAATACCATTGGAACATTTTCAAATGACGCCATTGCGCTGTGTGTTTTGATTCAGCCTTCCATTGAAATTTATAAATGTAATTAAAAATTAAGGAACTGATATTGACGTGTAGTGTAATAGTATTTATTTATTTATTTATTTATTTATTTATTTATTTATTTATTTATTTATTTATTTATTTATTTATTTATTTATTTATTTATTTATTTATTTATTTATTTTAGGGACGATTGGCAAAGAGCCGTACATAGTTTTACGCGATGAGAACAACGAACTAAAAGCATTCTACAATGTATGTCGTCACCATGCTATGCAAATCGTCAATGATACGGAAGGGACAGTGAAAGACTTGCAATGTCCATATCATGGATGGACGTATGCCTTAAGCGGCAGACTGAAGAAAGCCACTCGCCTCCGCGGAATAAAGAATTTCTCCGCCCGTAACTTCGGACTAATTCCGATGATGGTCAAGGCATGGGGTCCGTTAATTTTCATCAGACCCAACAAGATTTCCGAGGAGAAGGACAATTTCTTTGAAGACCTGGAATCCTTGAAGAACCGCTTGGATGGCATTGGTTTCAGCTCTGGAATGAAGTTCATGAAGCGTATTACATACACCCTAAACTGCAACTGGAAGGTATTCGTAGATAATTATCTAGACGGTGGATACCACGTCTCAACAGCGCACAAAGATCTAAGTGTGGCACTGGATGCAAGCTCTTATAGAACCGCGGTGCATGAATGGCATTCGATACAATCAGTCAGCGCCGTGGGCTCCGAAGAGCGTGTCTGTGGCGACGCGATATACGCGCATATATTCCCCAATCTAATGATAAACCGTTATGGTCCGTGGATTGACACTAACGTCGCACTACCACTCACACACAACACGTGTATGATTGTCTTTGACTATTTCCTCGAAGAAGATTATATCCAACAAAAGAGCGAAGAAGACCTGCAGAACATTCTGGACACGAGCTTCACAGCCAGCGATAAAGTGCAACAAGAGGACATCTTTCTATGTGAGGGCGTTCAACGTGGACTGGAATCATCGGCTTATGATTTGGGAAGATACGCGCCTGGCGTCGAATTTGCCGATCACATGTTTCACGTCAAACTTGCGGAACTATTCCGAAGACATCTGAAAATTCCATAGTTTCACTGTTTTATGCTATGACTAAAACAAATACCAGTTTTACTAAATTACCGTATACCACTATCTATTCATTGACTACAGTTTTGTATAAAAATATTACGAATGGCGTAGTTCTAGAATGTCTGTCTGTTAACAATAACAATAATGATGTTCAGATTCATCGCATTAACCTGCTCCATATTCCGAGAGCCAACGGAACATCTATAGAGATTAGATTTTACTTTTCTGGCAAACTGGTAGTATACTCTGTTGTTATTGTTTTGCCGATATCTGTTTCTTGATCACGGATGCTGATGCTATTAATATTTACCGGCTGCTTACACGTGGAGCAGTACCACTGTTCTCACTACTTTCTAAAAACACAGCACAATTTTTTGTAAGTATGTCTTAAAGGAACATATGACCTTCTCTCAACGAGCTGGACCTTCGATGTCACATGTGTAACTGTCTTCCGAGTTTGTAATTGCTTTGTTTTGTTTGAATTGTAATTATGAGCTATAGTTATTAATTTATATGACGCTATATCTGTTTTTAAATTATATGACTGTATTGCATCGGAACAAGTATATGTTATTATTTTATATACGGCATTCTAAAATGTCTGTTGTCGGTGAATTATATTACCACCTTAGCATGCTGGTACATGCTCTAAATTAAAGCAGCGATGATTTACAGCACACATAAAGAAGTGATCACGAGGAAGTTGTTCTGAAGCTGATTATTGTAAAGTTGACAAGGGAAATGTTTGAGCTCATACCGTAGCTCATTATAAAGAACGATTACAAGTTATTTACCATGATACAATGCCATTTGACTGATACCTGATGATAGGTAAATAATTGGATGTTTAGCAGGATGTGCATTTGGTGGGTAGATTGTACTCCGCTGTCAGTCTGTTTAGATACAACCATATGTTAGTTTGAATTAGTCCATTGTAGCATAGTTCGTTCCAAGTATGTGGTGAACTGATTAAATGTCTACTTTGGGTGGTATTAAATAATGATTGTTAAACTTTAATTTTACAACTTTCACACATACATTGATATCATACATGTATTTCCACTAGAGAGTCAATATTGACAATATAAAATGATGTCTCTCCTTGCGTGATAGATAGATACTAGATAGACAAACAATGAACTTCACCTTAACATTATGAACTACGAATCCATCTACAGAAAATCCCTGTGTCGCCTTGCAGCTTCATCTGTTTATAAAACATCTTACGCAATACCACAACTCGATGGGACACTGGATTAACATGCTATAGACATTTACTAATAATATGTTGTTGTATTTTCCCACTTCTGCGTTTATCTACCGAGCACAAATCGCAATGTCCTTGACTTGACTTAACTTGACAATATAGTAAACGCTCGTGTGCTACCTTAAGTCTTCTCAAGAAAGCATCGCAATTACTTAGAACATAGAGTGTACCATTGAGAATGATGGAGGCCTGAACATTTCTCATAAAGTTAATTTTGTGGTTACAATACCATTTTGAATTCTAGAGAACACAGTAAAGTGTAATTATCAAGTGACTGTGTGGATCTTAATGGCTGGAACTCAAGTGGAGAGATAGTGAAGTATTATCATGAGATTTGTGTTTTACGACAGAAACGCGATACATACTATACCTTGTGATAACGCACAGATCGTGGTAACCTCTGGGTATTAAGGTTTTTAAAATGTGTATTTACCAATAGTTAAGATTGAGTGAATGTTCAATAATTACACTTATTCAAGATCAAACTAGATAAATTTAATGACGTTAAACGAGGACGTCACTGTATTAGAACTTCCCCTCAGAAAGTGGAACAGATTAAACGCCAGGAATTGGTCGTCTGCTACTATTATTAGTATTTTGCTATGGACTTTGTTGTATCTACTGCTGTTCCGTTGTTCTGCATCCTACATGTATGGTAAGACATCTTTTTGTACATTTCTCTATATATAGTTCGCTTTACGGGAGTATCCAACAAGTTATCGGGAATACCTTTTCCAGTGACGTAATATTGTCCTCGTCCGGCCTGAGGTAAATGGCTGACACCGGAGTTACGTGTGGTTCGCATCACCAAATCCCTCGAAAAAGAACATCAAACTAATGTTTTTTGTCACAGTTTTGGTTTTGGTGAGAGTTTAATAAACATATTATCGATTTGTGTTAGTTTCCGTCGATGTGGGCATTTTGGATTCACCCTAAAGACCTTATACATGTATCAACAACAATAAATCTTACACATCGCATCGCAGGGCATAGATAAACCACTGGCAGCCGGATTTTTTAGGCGAACAATATTGTTGATCAGAAACAACTGACCACCAGAGGGCGCTTCCATCCAGGTTCCGATAAAAATTAAAACGAACCCTGACCTCTGGAAATACCTCATTCATAGAGTGCCATAGTACCAGAGGTCGCCGAGCACGGCCGTACAACGTACTTTGCGACATCGCTACAGATGCATGCTAGCTGACAAGGGGGTTTCCGATTAAAGTAACCGAGATGGCATCGCGGTGTTTAAAAACAGCATCTCGTTGCTGGTGGTTCTATCACGGGGAAAATCTTCTCTCCGGGGGTCTCCACACTTGTCAGGGGGGGGGGGGCTCTCGTCTCGTCTCTCTATCGCGTCCCCTTGAGGTACGGGATCGGGAAAGTCACTTTAACTTTACAGTCAAATAAGGCACACACAACGAAATACGTTTCAGCTCTCGTCTTAGTCGGTCAATCGAGCACACTATAAGACACAGCGCCCTGGGGAAAAATCCCCAAGACTGTCGCAAGGCTGACCCAAGACTCGCTCAAGACTGCGTCAAGGCTCGCCCCAAGTCTCTCCAGGACTGCCTCGACTCTCCAGGACTGGACTCTCTCTACTGCGTCTATCGTGCTGTGCTCCCCAAGACCAACTGAAACTCTCTTTATTCATTTTCACAACTCTAACCAATTACAAAGCAGTAAAAAGACTCTAGGGCGTAACCTTCAATCATAAAACCAATCACACTAAGTACTGAATACGTCATATCTTTTGATTAATCGTTCACTACATTAATAACTATGGATACCAACTGTCAGAATCACGACGGATATCTCGTAATTAGTTCCAAATCACTGAGCCAAGTTCCGTCCAAAACTTCTAATAGGCCTGAACGATGACAGACATAACACAGCAATTCGCTAATAATCAGCTAATTAAGTCGATTAACAGATACGCAAAAACAAATTCATGACAGTTCTGTAATTTTCGGGGTATTTTTTATTTTTAATTAACCGAGCATTTCACGTTTGTGTATTTTGCCACTGAAAAGTTACTAGTAGTTATCGATGACAGCACAGCAATGGTCTGAATGATATTTATCCACTACATCGCAATGCTATCAGCACGGTGATCGTTACAGCGAAACGACAAATGTGTAATTAGTCAGTGACTTGTCAATCAAAGAGCAACGTAAACAAACTTTCGGGTCTTTTAATCACATACGCGTGCCTCGATTCCCTATATTTTAAAATCCATTTTTGGGCATGTTCCAGCATTGACAATGTTCCGAAATTTCAACACTATCTAGCCAAGACTTTCTGGGTAAGAAAAGCAAAAAAAAAAAAAATTCACTCCGAGTGCTCACGAACATGCATCTATACCTTAAGGCACGCACGGCATTTCAACAAACACTCTAATTTATTGGTCACTACGTACTCATACAAATCGGGACACGTGTAACTAACACACTCATACGACTGCCTAAGAATATCATCATATAGAGAAAAGTTAAGCGTGAGAGGATCATGAATTGTATCTTCTATCATATTCAAATCACAGAAACTGAAGATCCTCGTATGTGGCAATTCGCCTCAGTAACGTTCAGTTTCGATTTCAATACGAATACGCACGATACGATAGTAAAGCGATTCACGGAATTCCAGGTAGATCATGAGTGTACTGGTGTTTTATTAGAGGTACTTTTAGGACTGGACGGAACACTGTAGTCACACGCACGTGTATAGACGCCGTTTGTTCATAATCAGTGGGTACTTAATTGCAATTGTTCACCAACCGTGAACCAAGCCGCTATTTCTCCAGCGTTGACTACAACCGTTCATGATCAGTTGATGCTTACGCTGTTACTGGTTCCTGGTAGCGGTGTCTTTTCTGTCGTCAGCCTTGCGACATTAAAGTTATAATTCAATCGAATTTCCACCATGCTGCTGAATTTAGACCAACAAATCGGTTTCAATAGATAATTAATGGCAATATATTTTGAAATTTAAAAATCATCCGTCGAATTATATGTTGTGTAACGTAACATAAACGGTCAGATAGGGGAGAATTTCGATAAAGAACCTCAGATTAAAAATGCTAGCATTTACAAAATGATACGTACAACTTGATCGAGTGAGAGTGTGTGAGAGAGAGGAAGATTTTAACTATCAAAATAACACGGGCAGTATCTCAATTACGCATTTGTAAACACAATAGATCACTGCACAGAGCAAGACAGAACAAGGGCAGTAAAATGGATAAAATATGTCTTCCACGCAGCGAACAATGGAACAGTGGAACAAGTACTTTCTGAGCTATTTCTAAAAATTGGCTTATTCGACAAATTATACCGCATTCATTTTATATACAATGTGATGACTGCTTCCTGTTTCAAATAACCTAGACTTTGAGATAAATACATGTTCTTTCTTTGTCGACGGTGATGAGTCAGTTGTCACGCTAGCTATCATATCAGCTGTATATGTCCACCATTAACACCAGCTTCAATTTACACCACTTTACACGTACCCAATATATATAGAGATGCGTATACCTGCTTAATACGTCCAAGCGTCTTCAAAATACTTCATTGTTCGAGCCAATGCAATTAATTTTATAAGTGAGTATTAAAAAAAGCCGTAGAAATAAACATAAATAATAGCGTGCGATTCTTACAAAGTCACGCGTCATTATCTCAATATATATAAATTATGGACGGGCATCATCGACCACAGCTAAAATTATGGGGATTTTGTTATGACAAAATGGAAGATTATATGTCATTAAATAAATATACCGACTAAAATCAATGGTTTGAAGCAACGTCGGAAAATCATTTCCTTACGCTCTTCACACAGTCACAGCAGGACTATGATTATGCATGCAAGTGGACTTAACTATATGCCTATTATTAGGGTCGGTAAATGAAAAATCATCACAAAAATGAGGAATTACAAGCAATTTTCATATACACTTACGATGAATCAATAGTCAATAATATTTATTGTTACACAGAATATGATAGAATTTGCTTTATAGGTGACAATATTCGAGAATTATTGTGACGTATTTTTTGTAGATTCTGTAGTGCTTTGTCGGTGGGGTGCGATGTCTTGCTGGGTATGCACGTTTGTGTGAAAGTCTATTTAAGGAACAGTTTCGATCGAACGAGGACTATTTGGCAGTTAGTGGATCATATCACCTCAACCATCTTGCGTTGTGTGCTAACCACCCACAAAACATGATAACCGAGAAACTGTACAACGCGACGACCGTCAATTTTTTAAAAGCAAGTGCCACTGTTGCTCTCAGACGATATGCAAGTTGGGATGTCAATCCTCGTCTAGATGTACATACGTTTCAATGTGATCTACCAGTGGAAGAAGCGACCACGCCTCCTGCATCATGGTGAACTTATGCTAAATAATATGCACTTTGTTGGCTTACTATTCACAGTGATCTATTTGTTTCTTGTTTAATTTATTTTTGATATTATTGATATTTTGATATTTTTTAATCGAAATATGAACATCGATATAATTCAATTAGAGCCTTGTTGACAATCAAAGAGTCGATAGTTAGCTGAAAACGTAAACCTCTTGTTTGTGTCAATTATTTACAAGATATGTTGAATGCGGCACACTGCTTACTCGCAAAATACGTATACTATACTACAATCTGGAAAAGTTGTTACGATTGCGGCTCTCGGTTTTCTAGTAAACTACATAAAATACATTGATATATATATATGGGACCTATTTCAGTTTTAACTTGACCCATTGTAAATATCTCCTAACACACAATTTCAATGTATATACGCAGATTGAGTCGCTATAATTGTAACCCATACTGTCTAAATTGTGCTCAAATACAAACCAATGTGTTCAATTAACTATACTACACACCTAAATTTAACAAATCAAATAACTATATGTGTGTATCATTTCTATATTGTGTTGATTTAGAAGATATACCTGCTTGAGAAAAAAATGTGTGTTTTTGCTTACGATGACACTGTGCATATACATCACAGTTTCACCTGTATTTATGTTTGTTTGTAGTTAATTGTTTTTTTCTTTTCTGTCCTTCCATGTCTGCAGGTACACGCATGCGTATTTCCACGACATGGAGCTCAAAACCGTGTTCAGCAACAACTGGTTAGCTGTTGGACGCGTTGATCAACTCAAAGAGCCAGGATGTTATTTTACAGGTAGGCGGTTGTCATCTTATACTGAACCTGGTAAACATTTGTTCTAAGTAATGACCAGCCCGATTTTCTTGATGTAAATGAATTCTGACCGACCACCTTCCACGTAATACATTCTCCGATTTGACCATTGTTGATCCTTGTTATGAGAATTTTGTATTTGTTATTTATTTAATATATTTCGGACATCTAGACTATAACAGCATTTCAATTTGAAGAGCACATTCAAGAAATTGGTCCAGACATTTTGACGTTACTCGAAAACAAATTAAATGCAAAATAATATAAAATATTGTCACAGCACGAAATAGTATTTATTTAATGAATAGTACGATATAAGCACGTCCGTTTTAATGTGTAGTTCATATTTCATTTAACGAATTCTTATTAGCGCGTGGCCAAAGAACCGTAATATTTTATAACACCTAAAGTTACCCTTATTGACAGAGCACGAAATAGTATTTATTTAATGAATAGTACGATATAAGCACGTCTGTTTTAATGTGTAGTTCATATTTCATTTAACGAATTCTTATTAGCGCGTGGCCAAAGAACCGTAATATTTTATAACACCTAAAGTTACCCTTATTGACACGTACAATTGACTGTCTAAACATAATCAACGAATCGGTTCAATAACGTAAATTAGTGACCCAAATGCCGGTCAAAGCGTCAATATATATATTCAACCATCAATGACGATTTTGTTGTTGAGACATTTCACTTTAATTCTAGAGGACGGACGATTATACAACAAAGTTGTCGATTTGGACGGCATTGCTCTCCCCCCGTACACGTCTTTTCTAACGTCACGGAATCGCTTTGTCATAGAGGGCGCGAGTTTTAGGACAAGTGTATAGTGTGCCGTTTGTGTTCTGTAATGTACCTGACTTAATTGTTCAGTTCTTTGGATGGATTGTTTGTACGTTGTTTCCACTTTTCTATGTTGTGCTTCCGTGCAGTGTTGGCCCTCGATCGTGAATATCATTGAAACACGTAACGTGTACGGATATTGTAATAACGAAATCGTTACGTCACAACAAATATTTAGCAATATAATAATAATTTAATCAATGTCTTCCACATTCAGGTCACCAAAAGTGAAACTCGGTATACAAGTCAAATAATTAATTCATTGGGCTACCGAGGTAGCTTGAATGCTGAGGCATTGATCAAATTTCCGTGCGCGTTCCGTGCATGGAATTGTTTAAAAAATCACGGTCGTGACGGGTAAGACTAGGTTGCAGTGTGAGACTGCCCTCATCGTTTTATATAGTTGAAATGTATATGCCAAACTAAGGATCATGCTTACATCTGTCGTTTTTCGAATGTTTTATTTTGATTTGCAGATGTGATTAACATACTTTATTTTATTCTATTCTCTGTATAGGTAGCGTTGGGAATCGTAATTTTGTCGTGACTCGTGATAACCGTGATTTTCTACACGCATTTCATAATGTCTGTCGACACCGTGGAATGACGCTCTGCAGCGAAGACTCCGGACAAACTTGCGAATTCAAATGTCCGTATCATGGCTGGACATACGATCTAACGGGGAGACTGACGCGAGCCAAAAAACTACGGGGAATCAAGAACTTCAGCGCCAGTAAATACGGATTGAAACCTCTACAAGTATCGACGTGGGGGCCGCTCGTGTTCGTCAACGCCAACGACACAGCCAACGAGTCAGAATTCCACGATGAAGTCGCTGCTATCGAGAATTGTATGAAAGGGTTCGAATTTAACGAGAGTTGGTGTTTCGTCAAACGCGTTACGTACCCGCTGAAATGTAACTGGAAAGTAGTGTGCGACAATGTGCTTGACAACGGCTACCACGTGACCATGACTCATCCCAATTATTCTAAACTGTTAGAACTGAATTCATTGAAAACGAAATTGCTTTCAAGATCGTCGATTTGTACCGTGGAGTCTTCTAACAACGATCCACGTGTCAGTGGCAATGTTATGTTAGCCCACATTTATCCAAATTTAATTTTGAATCGATATGGCCCCTGGCTTGATACCAATATAGTGATGCCAGTATCGGCAAATGAATGCGTAATTATCTACGATTACTACCTGTTGCAGAGTTTTGTGGATACAACGTCACCGCGTTATCTGCCGAAGTATATTGATGACAGTATATTGGACAGCGACAAACTACAACGTGAGGATAATATGGTGTGTGAGGGAACTCAGAAAGGGTTGCAGTCGTCGGGGTACGAAGTGGGAAGATATGCTCCACAAGATGAAAAGCCGGACTATGCTTTTCATAGACATTTAGCCGAGGACTTTAAACAATATTTGAGCCTCCATAGAAATTGAAAGTTAATCAAATGACTAGTGAAAGTTAGTCAGATGACTAGTGAAAGTTAATCGAATCACTAATGGAAGTTAATCAATTGACTATTGAAAAATGTCTAAAAATGAAATTCGTTTCTCACGGCGTCGGAATACAAAGTATGAGTTTCGTCAACTTACTCGGATTACTTATTCGGAACATTTATTGAGTTTCGAGCTCTAACCAATAACAACCATGGCAACATATATTTGTCAAATTCATTCTTAACCCACACTAATAAAATCAGCTTTATACAGACGTGTGCATCAATGCGTCATTTCAAATAATAGGGTACGTTGATAGTAATATGATGATAGCGTTTTATTTGTCGTCTCGTCCTCGATGTGGCACGCATACGACGTATACAACAAGAGTACAATACATTGTTTACACGAAATCTGGGGCGTGGTGCCTCACGACGATTATTTAACATATGTTTATCATTTATATAGATGATCACATCCAACATCATATACCTAAGTAAAAGTATAGTTATAACGCAACATAGTTACAATTGAAAAAGGCCTTTATGTATATTTCTGGAAAACCGACATAGAAAAGTATGACCCACACAAGCACAGTTCATCAGGTACATCCTAGAACAGTCCATGTTCTAATAAAGGCCACATATATTTACCCGTTCGTAATACGTATTGGAAAATGTTTAACATTTAGAACTACGTATGAGTTGAGTTAATAACAATTTTGAATTCATTTTAAATGAACTGCTATTGTGTTTACACTGTTGATTTGAAGGCTATGTTAATTTCAATGGAACAACACCGGCGTCTATATTATTATATCAGACAGTTCCCATGGTTAAATCGATTAATAACCATATTTGTAAAAGAAAAACAGCATGTACATGGCAAATCCAATTATTTCATATACATATATAAAAACGAGAACTGACAATACATTTAGAATAAAAAAAGATGTTTTATGTAAATAAATAAATGGTCTGTGTCCTACATGTATACTCATCTGAAACTAGTAATGGCAACGCAGTATGGAAATTTACGTAATTTTACTGGTATGTGTCATTGACATATCGTACGTGAATGACAAACGTATGTGATTACAATTAACCCCGTATAAATGTTATATATATGTAGTATGTAAATATATTTTCTGTTGCTGGTATTCTTTCACATCACACATTGAAACCCCTCGGGACCAGTTTAGACAGAACGCGACCGAGTAAATAAATTGACAATAAAAAAAATACTGCTTCGTTGAAAACCCGTCTGAAAGCGAAAAAAACAACGTGAGAAAATATCTCGCGATCTCGAGAAATAATCTTGCGATCCCGAGAAATTATCTCGTGATCTAGAGAAACTTTATCGAGATAATAAATCGAAACACTCGTGATAATACGTCGAGATCTCGGGTTGATATGCTTATTGGTATGTCAACTCATTCACGACGATCTGTAAATCTTATGAATGTAGTAAACAGCTTCTGTGACTCCAGAGAATGAGATCCACTATTTGGTTTGTATTTGAACTATATTTCTGGCTATGTTTTCCACTTTGTATGAAGTACTTGTATGAAGTTTCTGTTTCAAAAAGTGAAGCTATTTGGACAAAACATTGAATGATATGGTGAACAAGACGTAAATGCCAGTCTCGTTTTTGAAAAAAAAGAAAGATGGATATCTAGATACTATATAGCTCTGGTTATCGGTTAGATTATAGGTTCTATACATAAAGTATATGTTGACATATATTAATTTATAGCCTATTCTATGGGTTTTATAGATACTATATAGGATCAGCTATATTGGCTTATAGGTTCTATACATAAAGTATATGTTGACATATATAAATTTATAGCCTATTCTATGGGTTTTATAGATACTATATAGGATCAGCTATATTGGCTTATAGGTTCTATTGCCAGAATATATATGTTCACCTATATAAATCTATAGGAAAGCGTTCCAATTGCCTATAGAAACGTACACGTTTACCTATAGGTTTTTTTTATAGGTAATCTAAATATTGGTCATTGCCCTCAGCTGTAAGAAATATACAGGATTGGCCTATGTATATAGTACTTTTTACAGTTTCTGCATGATAAACAACCAGAACGCATCAATTTGAAGCAAATCCCGCAAATAATTTGTGCACATCAGTAAACCATCATGTGACAATAACTTCAAAGGAGACTGTGCAAGGCACACCAAAGGAATAGTTCAGGATATGTAGAAACACATGTACATATGCATATGGAATATATGTCCGTCGGTCGGTCAATTTTTATCCAAATTATGTCTTGGTTTAAATGAACAAAACATGTGTATTTGAAAAACAGGTCAAATGTCAAAGAAACGAAAAAAAGGTCGACGCGTTCCATTATGAATTGTTATTGGTACGGATTTGTAAAATCGGTTCAGATTTCTCCGAGAAATAATCAAGTTCGGACGGACGGACAGACCACCAAACGGGGACATATAATATCATGGTCTGTGTGTTCATCTGTGTGTTTGTATTTATCCTGTGTTTTGTTTGAATTAGCATTCTTCATACAGCTTCATGTAAGCTACTGAAACATTTTGTTGTTGTTGAAAATATTGTGGCGCCAGGTTGTGCCAACATATGCTGGCAGTAAAACATTGATTGATTTATTGATTGATTGATTGATTGTGTCAGGGGAAATTATGCTTATGCGTTAAAACAGTCATTATGGATAAGCATAATTAGTCATGTGAATTGACCTTGCTATGTGAATTAACCTTGCTAGCCAACACCTGAACATCGCCGAGTAGGGATGGTTTCATAGTTGATTTTTACAAATTTGTTCGGCCATAAAACAATATACATCGTCTGACTTTAAATTATCCTCGTTATGTGTGGAATTTTCACTCCTCCAGAGTATATATAATTTACCTCATCTGTTCTACTAACCTGACCGTCAGTCCACATCAAGCTGTGATTGTTATTGATTCTTTCTTTTTTGTTTGGTCCTTTATTAAAAGATCACTCCCAGCAAAACATTCTAGTTTAACATAATGTTTTCTTTCTGTGGAGAAAACTTTGTTTGGAATTGGGCAATGGGCTACACACAATCAGGTTATTAATACATTTTGTTGAAAGCTTTGTTAAATTTGTAAAAAATCTACATTTAGAAAAGTTTATTAACACAAGCCATCTAGTGAATGGAATTGCACAAATGCTGGGTAAAGTCCCGTATAAATGGGTATTTAACTGCGAACTATAGTTTAATTAAAATGGGTAAAAACATAGAATCGCCGTTGTGCACATTCTGCGAGTCGGGTCTAAAACTATTAAGAGAACATGAATTTAATGAAGGCCATTGCATTCAATGTTTTTGGTTACTTTTTGTTAAATGGATTACAGCAACCCTGACTGTATGGATATACAACACTTTACATTAACATATTTATAACTGGGTAATAACACTCAGCACTGATAGTTAATTTGATAGTCCACATTTTTGTTCAATGATTTCATTATTAAGGTGTCATTATCAAAAACATAACGCCATTTATAATCTTGAATATCACAATAACGTGATATATAGGTGGGGAAATGTTAAGTTCAACTAACATGTATTTCTTGGTGTTTTGAATGTATCACTATTGAATTAAATGTATTGTTATGTATTTTATGTGTCCGTTTATTGGATACGCCTATCCGTCATTTAGCAGGTTAATTTCACAATGAACAGAAAAGAAGCGAATTGTACTTTGTACTTTGGTGTACACAAATTGAAAAGACTGCTGAAGTTTAATAGGATTTATAGAAGAAAAGTAACTTCATCGTGATATTAACGATGTTATTACATTTATGAGAAAACAAGTCGGATGTTCTAAAAAACTTCACGACTACCGATGTATTGAGTAGAGAAAAGCACTGACTTTTGTTAAAGATCATTGATCCACGTGGATTCATATTACAAACTGTCGCAATATGGAATTTCCATCAATGGTTTCATCGGCGTTCCAGTGAAAATTAGATCTGATATGCGAACTGAAAATGGTCGTGTTGAGGAGATTCAGGGGATTTTTTATTACGATCTTGGACTAACCAGATGAATCAGCGGATCGACGACGGTGGGAAACGGCCAGAACTCATGTGGTCAATTCTGTATGGACAGTTTAAGGGGTGGAGAGAACGATGGCTACTTTACAAATATCTTGTTCGCCTTTGTTTCATGGGAATGATTCAAGTATTGTAAATCCTCAAACAAATAACAATAATTTGCATATATGCACATATATATATTGTTATTTTCATTTATATGTTCTATTTTTCAGTGTATAGATGGAAAATCATAAAAAATTGCCAAGAAATGGAAATATTTATATACTATTATATTCAGAACCCTATCTACGAAACTGCGATTATATTACAAAATCAATGCAATGATTCCTCGAATAGATTTTGGCAGGTATTGACAATTATAGATTAGTCACCGTGTATGTAACAATTGTTGTCTTTTACTTCCATTACGGATTTTTCTACCAAAACTAAATTTAATTTTGTGTTTGTTTGATCAGGATGATCATGACGATGTCGTGTTGTAATGGAAATATCACAAAGTCAGCCATACGAGAAATTCGGTTTGACATATTTGGAAGCAGGGACTTATATGTTGTTCTCCGTCACAGCATACGTTCAACTAACGTAACAACTATGACATGCACATTGTGTGTGATCATTGCATGCTTGATTGATTTACATCGTCACAATCGTTATTATTATTATAAATAGTTACATTCATCGTAGATAATTATTAGGCCATGAAATTAAAATTTAATTTCAGCGTAAACTATAACGTGTTATAGTTGAATTTACGTTCGTATTAAAATTTTATTTCTTTGCAAAGCGTTAAGGCCAGCACAATAAACATAGTTTTCTTAACAACATCAGTTAGTGAACTGTATCGTACACACCACCGGACGAACCAGTGCGGTAAAGCGCCTTTCTCATTTATCAGATGCTGTATATCACAATTC